TTCGCTCTTGCGATGGCCCGGCCTGTTGCAAGCAAAGCAGCGCCCCTTGAACGGTGCGGCAGCTGCATTCGTTGCTGTCACTAGAGCTACACTGTGAGATCCCCGACCGATCCTAGGGAGGGTTACAGGCGCGTTCGCCTGGGGGGTTATGGGCGCACTGACCCGCTACTGAAACAAGCCCTTTTATCCCAATGGTCTAGTGGTTGGGATTCTGCCATGGTATCAGAGCGGTCTCGGGTTCGAATCCCGGTGTATGCACATGTTGGCCGTTGCCACTGTGCTTAGTCCTGGACCTCCCAGTGTGGGGGGGTGTCATTAGAGCTACACTGTGAGATCCCCGATCGATCCTAGGGAGGGTTACAGGCGCGTTCGCCTGGGGGGTTATGGGCGCACTGACCCGCTACTGAAACAAGCCCTTTTATCCCAATGGTCTAGTGGTTGGGATTCTGACAGTTGCGACGGCGTGTACAGTGGCGTGCTCGGTCGGTCCCCGAGGGCGATATCCGTAGTAGGACCCCGGTCTCGGTCGGCGTAGAATGTCGATTTTCTCGTCGAGCGCGAGAATCTCGTTGAAGTTGGAGAGTCCGCGCAGCATGATTTCGTGCAAGATATCCGGCTTCAGCCCTCCGATGTAACAGTCCACCCGCTCCGCTTCGTGCATGTAGCCGACCTGTTCGCAAAGTGCGAGAAAACCGCTTGTATAATCTTGAACCGACCCGAGCTGGCGCCAAGTGCGCAACCTCTGACGCGCCGAAATCGAAGCCGCGATCGGCTCGAAACGCGCCCGTAGCCCTGCGCACCATGCATCCCACGTGCTGTATTGGGCGGTCTCGCAGAACGAACTCCAGGTGACAGCTGGACCCGTGGGCCCTTCCTCGTGTGACGGTGGCTCGTAGGCGCGTGGCGATGTCACGATGACTCGCCACCAGTTCATGGCGGGGCCCCTTAGCAGCGAAACTGCATACCGGATCTTCGCGGCGTCCGACTCGACGTAGTTTGCGTCGAAGAAGACGTTCATCGTGAAGACCCACGATTGAACCGTCGGACCTCCGCGTTGGCTTGGGTCGAAGCAGGGCGGGCGTTGCGGCTTGAGCGGCATTGGTGCCATAATGGCCTGTTCGCCACTTGTTGCCACAAATTCCACGTGCCGACGGGCTTCCCGGGGCTCCCGCGGGCTTGGTGCGATCCTGCCTCCTCCCATGCCAGGCATCGGCTGGGCGGCGCCATTACTGGCTGCGCCTGAGCGTTGTCCCATGCTGTCGTGTTGTGTTGGTGTACCGGACGAGATGATGATCAGCTCGTCTGATTGTGTAGATGCATTTGTCGGTGCGTGTGGTGTCGCCGGAATGTTCACCGTGGATTGTTGACGGGCGGAGTCACGTTCCGCCGTGAGTGTCGCGATTTCGAGCGCCGAATCTTATAGTTGACGCACGAGACGATCAAGCTGCTCCTGCGTCAATGTGGCGAGCGTGAAATCGGCCATGGCGGGGGTGTCGGGCAAGCTCAGCGAGAGCCTCGGTCGTGGCCGTGCGTGCTTACGAGAGAGCACTACGAGCGGCGGTGCTGTATCGCTGAGAGACGTCTACCCCCCCCCAAAAATTGAGATAGTGGGGAAGCGAAAGTGTGGATGCGGTCCGAGGTGAAGTCGTAGGCTCTGAATACCAAGTGTTACGAGTGCAATTGAGTGAACGAACGAGAATTGCACTATCGAAGCAAGAATACAATGAGCGAAGGCATGAGCGAATAATATATAGCGAAACTACAATGGTAACGGTAATGGACTGTGGTTGTCGTGTGACGAGCCTGGGACTGAGGTTGGGAAAGTGTCGAAGCGAAGGCCCGGAGCGCGGGTTACCAGCCGGGCCGTGAGGTCGGGGTGCGATGTGCGAAGATGGCGGGATGATTGTCGATGCAAGGATCGCGAGTGGTAACGGTGGTGACTGAGGTGCTACAGTGATGTACGCGTTGAGCAGGGATGCGAAGTAAGGAAAAGGGATTTTCCTTACAAAACGGAACAATACACCGACACACCACCACCAAGCAACACGCAAGACGATGATACATGCCACCCTAACCCCAAAGTACTTACTTCCACCTCTCGTAACCACTAAAAAATCCTCCAGTATGACACATCTCGCCATAACACCTCACTGTCGCTCCAAGGGGTGACCCGCCCTAAGGGTGTGTCACATCGCCAGACGAACAATTTTCGGAAAATCCGTCGGGCGGTTGTTAGAAAAGGTAACCACATAATGATGTTCTCCAAAATCCTGGCAAGCGTCGTTATTTTCGAAACAAACTTGTGAATTTGATGGCCTTTGAACGGGCCGAAACTAAACCGTACACCGTGTCGACTCCAATCTGGCCAACTAGTCGACACGGTGAGCGACAGACATCTGCGACGTCGCACGTCATCGTACAACCTATAGAAACAATCGCCGTCAAATTTGCGACCCCGTCGCACATCTCCGGCTACTGTAGCACGTGCAAATGTGACAGCTTTGATACAACGGCCTGCAAATCGGTCATCAAAGCTGTCACATCTGCAAAACTGCAAATCCTGGTCGTTTATCGGTCGACACTCTATCGACCAATCTTTCGACTTTCGCGAAAGAAATGACGACCATATATGACGGATATTCGGCCAAAAGCCATTCTCACAAATGGTTGGCGATGTGACACGCCCTAAGGGTCTTCCAGCACCTACAATGCTGCCAGTTCTAACAGCCCAGCACAGCAAGCTTGTTGTGAGCAGGCAGTTGTCAAGCCCCATCCGTCCTTCAATCGAAGCCAGCTAGGTTTTCTGTGACTGTGGTGAGGTGACCGTGAAGCGCCGTGCACAGATGCGGTATGCTGTACATACACCTGGCGATTCCGCCGTTTCAGTCAGGTAGCTTTTGGTGAAGAATCACGGAGCCTACTGCGCTTCGCCTTTTTGCTGCCTAGCCTGGTTTCAGTCTGTCCTAGAGTTCCCACTTGGTCTAGCATCTAGGCTAAGCATCCTTGAATGCAATGGCAGCATTTCGAGATGGATACACTAGTGTAAGCAACTCTCGCCCGTAATGATTTTTCCCACATCGGCAGCTTTTGCGCTTCTAGTAGCTTCTGTTATCGGGTCATAAAACAACTTTTCCCAAGTGACGCTATGATTGATATTTTCTGCTCAGGCTGAGAGTATCTGAAAGGCGTGAGGGTAATCTTGCCTTTTTGTACTGTTGCGCCATAGATCCTGCTTCTGCCGCGCGTTTTCCGTTATGGCGATCGCAATGGATCAAATCCCAGGTCATCGTATCTCAAGTATGAAAATTTCGCCAGCGAGACTGACTCCTCTTCGCTGTTTTAGTGCGAGGGGGAATCCCGAAGCGAGTGAGGGGATGCTTTCCCGCCGCCTTACGGGCAGCCGACGTTCCGGTTTCCGGGCGGCGAGGAGAGTGAGGGATATTTTTCCCGCCTTTCCGGCAGCCGACGTTCCGGGCGTTCGGGCGTTCGGGCGTTCCGGCATTTGGCCATCTTGGTCTTTCGCAGCATTTTTTCCCAGCACCGAGTTGACCCCGAATGGACGGAACGATGTAGTACAAGAGACTCACAGAATCAGCTAATTGTGCATTCTTTGTTAGCAAGCTCCTACAACTCTCTGCTTACTACTCACCCTGAGAACTCTCCTCGCCGGCGCGATTCCATACCACCGTTTTCCTAACCGTCGCCGTCTAGACTAATTGTCTCCACTGCCACTAATACTACCACTACGTCCGACGATCTGAGCAGCTATGCTTGCGGTCGCGCCGTCAACAGCTCGTCGCTACAACGCCTACGGCTCGTTTCCCCCGCCTGCAGTCCAGATTGACGGCCTCGATCCGTCGCTACGACAAGCGTCAACGGTCGCGATGGCTCGTTTCTTCAGCGATCCAGGCGCGCTGACATCTCCCCCGCGCGTGGATGTTTCTTCAGCCGCCGCGTCTGGCGCGCAAGCCGTCGCTGGCGCGGGACCTTATCTCCGCCCCACGCCCCCGCGCAGCCCGCGCGAAGGCTCCAGCGCGGCGCTCGGGTTCCGCCACCGCCGCTGGCACTCGTTCAGCGACTTTCAAGGAGTGCCAGGGCAGTGCGGAGTTTGTGTCACACCGGAGTCAGTGCATGGCGCTTATCCCTCAGACTGTAACGGGGATATCAGTTATCTTCCACGCGTGGCGCGCCCGTCTACAGTTGCGGTTACGGCCGCTTCTACAGCTGCGGCTGCGCGTCAGGCTGCTGCTGTATCATCGTCTCTTAACGCCATGCCCGCCGTTGCAGCGCAATATTCTGTAGCCCCCGCGGCTGCTGCTGCCACCTCGTCATCGCTTCCTTCTGAAGCCATCTGGCCGCGAAGTCAGAGCCATGGCGCTGAAAGCATGGCGCGACGCCGCCTGGCCCGGCACCGCCGCACGCGGTCAGTGGAAGCAGTGATGGAGCATTCTGAATTAGCGGGGCAGAACACTTCAATGGGCCAGGCCAGTGCAATGGCTCCCTTGTGCTCCATGCCCTTCCCACGAGCCTACACTGCTGTACAGTCACCGCATGGGTTACGAAGAGCACGCTCAGCTGGAAAGCAGTCTCCCTGCAAGGCAGCTACAAGCTCTCTGAAGTCGCCTTACAGCGGTTCCTCCCCTGCCTCCCCCGCGTCCTCTGTCTCCTGGTCGCCGTCTAAACCCGTCTCCGGAAACCAGTCTTTCCATGATGCAGCTGCACGCTCTCTGAAGTCGCCCCGCAGTGGCCTCTCCTCATGCTCCGCCTCCTCTGCCTCCTCATCGCCGTCAAAACCCCTGTCTCCTCCACCCTTGTCCCGTCCTCCCTTTTCTCCTCCTCCCCTCTCTCCTCCTCCCTTGTCCCCCCCACCCCTGTCCCTGCTCTCATCCTCAAAGCCCATCTCTCTACTCTCACCATCAAAGCCTACCTCTAGATCGTCGCGATCAAGACCCGTCGCTGGCCTGCTGGCATCAGGGCGTTATTCTATCCCAGATTCTTTTATGCAGTCAAGCTGCAATGCTACTGGCTCAAGTTCTCCTGCTAAGGCAGCAGTAGGAGGAGGAGCAGCTGCTGCTGCATGCACAAGTGGGGATCTTAAGGGCACAATTGTAGTGCAGGCTACAAGCAGCAGTGGCATGACAATAAGCAGCATGGGACATGACAAGAGCTTGGCTCGGGGAACACCAAGTCAGGCGATTGCCATCCCTGCGGGCAGGTCGTCTTCTTCTCAGTCGCCTAAGAACAAACGGCACGTGCGCTTTAACAAGATGGTGCAAGTTAGAACCTTCTTTGATTGATGCCTAATTGGTAGCAGACAGTACAGGCAATGGGAAAATATGTGTATATATTAGGCAAACCAGACTAGGTGATCACTGTACAAATTCTAATAAATCTTTACCACATCTTAGGCATCTGCCCTCATCCTGATCAGATCCTAGACCCAACTCTTTGACACATAAATTGCGTGATTACCATGCTCTCTTACACATTAGTACCGTTCCCTGATTTTGCATTTGGAAAAAGGTATCAACATCTTGAAATGTTAGTGCATATGGTTTCCTTGTTGCGCGTGTAGTAGTATCTGTTGATATTATCGAGGTATGTCCGCATACCGTATTCGACGATTCCCTCTCGTTTTCCACCAGCACCACCAGCCCGACGGAATCTAGGAATTTCGGAATCTACTGGCGTAGGAATGACATGAAAGTCCGATCGCAACACAGCGATGCGCTTTCTCTATAGATAATCTGCAAGTTAGGAAACGCCTGGACTCGAACCAGTGCGCACCGAGAGTTCTGCGACACGTTTGTCGGACATAATATTCTTCTTTTCTGAATATTAGCGAGTTCATGAGTTCAATGACTCACGCTTTCCTCAGATTTATGTCGTTTGGAGTGCACCACAGATTCCATCTGTCGTTGTAAAATACTTCTCAGACGTCTCAACAATTGTTAAGGAGTCGTCGCTGGTTCGGCCTTATGTTTTGAGTCGAATCAAAGCTTGGTTCGGCCTGATATCAGCCGTCTGGCTTGTCGGGTGCTGCTGCGAATTCAGACTGCCGTCGCGTAGTAGAAAGTAGACGTCTCGTGCCTGTGCGGTTCGCGCGCGTAAGAGCTCGTAAAGAGGAAGGCATCCCAGCGATTTCTAACCGTTGACCGACTGAGACGCTAGAAACTCTGGCAGGGGATTCTTTTATCACAAGGAATTTCTGTGAACACGCAGAGGGACAGAGATTCTACCTGTTACCTGCATAGATTCTGCACGACTCTACTACCTGCAGCACGCTTGCTCTGGGGTCACAATTACATTCTACCTTGACAGCCGCATATTCCACGTGTCACAACACGCTGGCAGCTTTGTCACCTCCCATACCCGACCAGGCTCCAGGAATCTTGGAGGAATCTCGGCGGAGACACGCGATAGGGTTTACTCGTTCTTTCTGCAAGAGACCGGGTTTGGAACTCACGAAGCGAGTCCACTTTGTTTTTATTTTTCCTCTCACCCGTGGCAATAGCCCGTCCTTCTCATACGACGAAGCCCGGTTTGGCGCCAGTTGCGGCGGACGAAATTGACGCCATTATTCCGGATTCCTCAAGCCGCCGCCCATACCTCTCCCTTGCAAGCCTTCGGCGCCTTTTGGCGGCGAGCGCGGCGGGTGCGACGGAGCGGATCGAGGGTCTGTTTCCGGCCTTTTCAGGCCTGGTGTACCTATTCGTCTACCTGCGCGTCCTGGTTCGCCGCACAGCGCGCATCATGCTAGCCAGGGTGAGTGTGAGCATCTCACAAGTGCGCAAGATCTTGGAGGAGAGCCAGCTCAACCGCGAGACAAGAGAAAGTTCTTGGGGGAGAGCTCAAAATCGCAAGACAAGAGAAAGTTCTTGAAGTGCCTTCAAAGGCGTTCCACCTGTATCGAACCCCCTCGATCGTTCCACCCTCGCGGGTGTTCGACACCGTCATCGGGGGGTCCGGGTCCAAGCTAGGGCACGCGCATGCATGAACCCCCTTGCTGTGTGTCACTCCCCTCGTTGGTTCCTGCACGGACCCCCTTTCTGCTCCCCACGCACAGGTGTTCAACACCATCATCGGGGGGTCGGGGCCCAAGCTAGAGCGAGCGAGCCGCGAGCATATGCATGAACCCCGTTGCCATGTGCCATGTGTTTGTGAACCCCTTCCCTCCCCACGCACAGGTGTTCAACACCATCATTGGAGGGTCGGGGTCCAAGCTAGAGCGCGCGCTGGGGGATGCGTTTCCCGAAAGGGAGCGGTTCTTTGGGGTCGAGCCCAGGCGTGAACCCCTGCCATATTGACCGCCTTTCATTGCTCCACGCTCGTGGCAGGTGTTCAACACCATCATGGGGGGGTCGGGGTCGAAGCTAGAGCGCGCGCTGGGAGATGCGAAGCCTTTCGTATGTGGAAAGCAAGTGTTCGACCTCCCCTTGCCATGCGAAATCCCCCTTCTTCTCCCCGCTTTGACGCGTTCAAGCCATCTGTGTGAACCCCCCTCATTGCTCCCCACTCGCAGGTGTTCAGCACCATCATTGGGGGGTCGGGGTCCAAGTTGGAGCGCGCTTTGGGAGATGCGTTCCCGGAGGGGGAGAGGTACTTTGGGCTTGAGAATTTCGGCAACACGTGCTACTGCAACAGCGTGCTGCAGGTGGGTCAACACTCTGAGATCCGGGGACTTGAGCGGATTTAGGTGCTTCTTGGTGCGACCAATAACCTTTGACAACGTCTGGAATAGGTGCCGCAGGTGATTTGCTTTTGAGAATCTACAAAAACACGATCTAAGCATAGCGTGTTGTTGGTGAGTCATTCGGGATTCCAATCAATAGCCTTTGGTCGCCTTTGGCAACACGTGTTACCACAGCATGCTACAGGTGGGTCACGTTGGAGATTCGGCAGTTCCCTGGATTATATTCACAGCTTCTTCTGGTTTTTGGTCCGTTGCATTAGAGTCCTAAAATACCTTCTCACTTGCTCCATTTCTCCCTTTCTTGCATGGTCGTAATTGCTACCACGCCATGCCACACCGCACCGCACTACATCACTCTGCACCGCACCATGCGCCCCACTCCAGGCGCTCTACTTCTGTGTACCGTTCCGCGAGCACCTACTGGACTACTACGCCAAGCACAAGCCGGCAAACGAATCCGAGGAGACGCTCCTCACGTGCCTTGCAGAGCTCTTCAACCAGGTGAGTCTCACTCCCTCCCAACCCAATGCACCAGCGCGCCACCACGTGTGCTGTGCGTGCTGTGCATGTGTAGAAAGTAGAGTTTTGAGACGTCTGAAAAATATACTTTCTACACGAGGTGTGCTGTGCGTGCTGTGCGTCATGCGCCTTGCATGTTCCTCAGGTTGCGCCTCAGTTCACTCACTTCGCCAGGCACGCTTTGATCCCTTAGGCTACCACGCGCCAAGCACAAGCCGACTTTTGAGTCGGCTCAAAAGTCACTTCACCAGGTACGATTTGATCCCTAAGGCTACCACGCCAAGCACAAGCCGGCCAACGAGTCACAGGGGACCTTCCTCACCTGCCTTGCATTGCAGAGCACTTCAACCAGGTACGCCAAGCAACCCTTTTCGCCAGATGCACGCACCTCCGTCTCAGCGCGCCTCAGTCCTCCGCGCATCTCAGTCCTGTCAACGAGTCCGAGGAGACACTCCTCTACCTCGTAGAGCTTTTCAACCAGGTACGCCCCACCCACACGTGGATTTGCTTTTGAGTCAACTCAAAAGTCGCCCCACCCACACGTGGATTTGCTTCATAACCCTAAACCCGGGTGCGTGTTTTTCAGCCTGCATGCCCCTTACATGTCCCTCGAGTCTTCCGCCTTTTCCCCCCTTCCCCCCCTTCTCACTGCATGCTTGCCTGCCTCCACGGCAGATCAACTCCCAGAAGCGCAAGACAGGGGTCATTCTTGCGCAAGACAGGGGTCATTCTTGCGCAAGACAGGGGTCATTCTTGCGCAAGACAGGGGTCATTCTTGCGCAAGACAGGGGTCATTCTTGCGCAAGACAGGGGTCATTCTTGCGCAAGACAGGGGTCATTCTTGCGCAAGACAGGGGTCATTCTTGCGCAAGACAGGGGTCATTCTTGCGCAAGACAGGGGTCATTCTTGCGCAAGACAGGGGTCATTCTTGCGCAAGACAGGGGTCATTCTTGCGCAAGACAGGGGTCATTCTTGCGCAAGACAGGGGTCATTCTTGCGCAAGACAGGGGTCATTCTTGCGCAAGACAGGGGTCATTCTTGCGCAAGACAGGGGTCATTCTTGCGCAAGACAGGGGTCATTCTTGCGCCTCACAGGCTGCTGCGTTATAGACAACCCACGACGTCGCTTCCTTTCCTGATTGCCGTCCAACACTTCCTCCCCCCCCCGTCCCCACCCCACGGCAGATCAACTCGCAGAAGCGCAAGACAGGGGTCATAGCGCCTCGCCGCTTTGTGCAGCGAGTGAAGAAGCAGAAGGAGCTCTTCCGCAGCTACATGCACCAGGTGAGAATTCAAGCATGAGGTGAACGAATATACATGCGCCAGTTTTTGAAGAGTTGAAAAACCGCTTTGTGCAGCGAGTGAAGCAGGAGCTGTTCCGTAGCTACATGCACCAGGTGAATTCCAGGCGTCATGTGAAAATGCACGCAGCAGGTGAATTCCAGGCGTCATGTGAAAATGCACGCAGCAGGTGAAATCCAGGCGTCATGTGAAAATGCACGCAGCAGGTGAAATCCAGGCGTCATGTGAAAATGCACGCACCAGGTGAATTCCAGGCGTCATGTGAAAATGCACGCAGCAGGTGAATTCCAGGCGTCATGTGAAAATGCACGCAGCAGGTGAAATCCAGGCGTCATGTGAAAATGCACGCAGCAGGTGAAATCCAGGCGTCATGTGAAAATGCACGCAGCAGGTGAAATCCAGGCGTCATGTGAAAATGCATGCACCAGGTGAATTCCTGGCGTCATGTTAAAATGCATGCACTGGGTGAATATTCAGGTGAAAATTCAGGTGAAAATACCTCCAGGGCATCACGTGGAACTACGTTCACCCAGATTGCACGAGTTGAGTTACTCAACTCGCTTCTCACCGAGCTGGTACACGTTCCTGAAAAGGAGGCGTGGGAAGGCAGGGCAGGGCAGAGGCTGGGCGAGCACCATTCCATTCCGTAAAGATTTCCTCTTCCTTGGAATCCTCCGCCGTTGCCTCGTCCTCCCCTTCCCCTGTCCTCCCCTTGCCATCTGACCCCTTACACGTTCCTGAAAAGGAGGCATGGGAAGGTAGGTCGATTTTTTAGTCGACTCAAAAATCGGCATGGGAAGGCAGGGCAGAGGCTGGGCGAGCCTCAGGTGCGAAGGTGCGATCTCAGGTGATGGTTTTCAACCCAGCCCCCAGTCCCCTGTTAATATCCCCCACGCACCCCTCTCAGGACGCACGCGAGCTGCTCACCTTCCTGCTCAACGATCTGGTGGGCGGTCTAGAGAAGGAGGGTGGGGTGTTGTACACTCCACCCACCCATGCGCCATCCCTGGGGCCTGACCTGTCCTCCTGTGCCAGGCAGGACACACGCGAGTTTTTGAGTTTCCTTCTCAACGAGCTGGTGGGCGTTCTTGGGAAGAGGGCAGCAGATGCACGCATACACTCCACTCACCCTCTTGCCACCCCTGCCCTGTCTGTGCCTCCCCTCCCTCCTTCCGCGCCACCCCTACCCCAACCCCCGTCAGGACGCCCACGAGTCTCACAACTTCCTTCTTAACGCGCTTGTTGATATTCTAGAGAAGGAGGCGCGGGCAGGGGGAGCGGAGGCTAGTTGGCCAGCTGGTTCACACCCGCCAGTTATTCCTCCCGGCTATTCCTGTTGGTGTTAGGCCCCAATCTCACATTTTGTACTTGTACTTTTATATCCTAGTTTAGTGTAGTTTGCACTTTGTGTTTGGTTGGGTGTACACCCACATCCCAACCAAACCCAAATGTAATCTCCAAGCAATCTCCAACCCACCAATTGGAGATTGCCTTGGGATTACCCTTGATTCCCTAGGATTGCCTCCTGATTCCCTCCTCATCCCTACCTTGCTCATTCCGGATGTACTTAAAGAGCTTTGAGCTCACTACTATAGTATCGATTCTAAGCTCAAGTTCTAACATGGTAATCAGAGCAGCTCAACCGCATACGCGGATCGTGATCCTCTCATCTCTGCGGATACTTGTCCCGCAAACCTCGGGGAAGCCATCGCCAATCTCGTCGCCGTTGATTCGCGACATTCATCGGCGGAATTTCTCCCGCCAAATCTTCCCGTCACCATCGACGGAAACTTCTCTGGTAAGCGCATCGTCGGCGCTCTAACCTAACACTCGTTTTCATCAATTCGTCACTTCTTCTCCTCGACGGGCTGCCGCCCGTCGCCCTGCAGCTTCTCGTCGGGCCGCCGCCCGTCGCCCCGCAGCGTCATCTTCGGGCTGCCGCCCGTCGCCCCGCATCTGCACTCCTACCCCATCCCCCCTCTTTCCCGCAGCTGAACAGGTGCAGCAACGCAGCCGAGCAGCAGCGTAGCCGCGAAGCCGAGCAGCCGTGTAGCCGCGAAGCCGAGCAGCAGCGTAGCCGCGAAGCTGAGGGTGGTGTGTGGGGGGGTGTGTGGGAATAGGACTAGTAGGTAGTTGACACTAAATTGGCGTCTCAGTCAAATTCTCCTTCGTAAACCCTAAACCTCAGGTTCTTCAAAATCTCCTTTGGAAACCCCAAACCTCAAGTTCCTATTGGTGACTTAAGAGCGGCGCTCCGCGCGAGAAGTTAAGGGGTCTCCACCATGGCTTTCTCGTCTTCCACCATGGCGAACCCCATCACCCCGCTCCGCCTTGAAGCCGATGGCTCTAGCTCCAACTTCAAGGCGTGGAGCTACGGAGTTGACAAGCACCTCCTGAGCCGTGACGTGCAGGGCCTTGACCTCAAGGACGTCCTCCTCAACCGTGGCAAGGGGAAACAGCCCACTCTTCCCCGTGAACCGACCGAATCTTCAAGTGATGCTGACGTGATGACGTACGAAGAAGCTGTTGAGAAGTACCGGAAGTGGGAGAAGGCCGATGCTGCCATCATCAGCGTCTTCATTGCCTCCACCCCTCCCGAACTTGTCAACACGTTCCACAACTACCCTACCTCCAACGCCATCTGGAAGTATCTCCAGGATCGGTTCATGAACAAGACGGCGGTCGGAGTGGCGATTCTCATCCCCAGCATGTTTCAAGTCCGCCTTGAGGACTGCTCAGGAATGGCTGACTACATCGCCAAGGTGCAGACCATTCATGGTGAACTCAAGGAGCTGGGTATAGTCTTCCCCGAACAAGCCCCTGCAGCCGCCCTTCTTGTTGGTCTCTCCTCGGCATATGAAGTCACGAGGAAGATGCTCCTCACGCTCTCAGCGGAAGACCTCACCTTTGCTAAGGTCTCCACCGCACTCCTCTCTGCCGAGAAAGACTCCACTGCTCAGGCCAAGGCATACGCCATCCGTGCTCCCATGCCCCTAGCAAGTGTTGCAGCGGCCCTTGCCTCGGCGCCTTTCCAGCGCAACCGCTTTCCTCCGTGCACCTACGTCGTCAAGTATGGCAACCGCAAGGGACAAGTGTGTGGTGGCACTAACCACCCCCTTGCCACGTGCTTCAAGAAGAAAGACGACGAGTGGTATGCCATCCACGGGGTTGACAAGAAGCCGTCAAACTGGATGCGCGCTCATAAGGCCAATCTCGTTGAAGTCCAGGACCCCTTTTCGGCTAGTGCTAGTGACAGTGCTCCTGTTGATGTGCGTATCAACCTGTTGTTTCCTGGCACTGTCATGATTAATGAAGCCACTTCCCAGTACATCGACTCATCACAGGCACCACAGTACATAGAGTTCACACTCGACAGTGGGGCCACTCACACTGTGCTCAAGGAGACACTCTCCTTCAAACCCTATCTAGCACCTATCCCTCTCTTGGGAGCTGACTCCAGCTTCACCACCCTAGCCAAGGGCACCTCCACAGTCCCATGCCCAGCCTTCCCTTCCGGCACCGTCACTGGCATGTGCGTGCCTTCACTACGCCACAATCTAGTGGCTCAAACAGAAATTCAGAAAGCAGGGCTACGCACCATCTTCTCGGAGAATGAGGACCACTGCGACATCATTGACCCACTCACCAACAAGGTCTTGGCCCGCTTCACCCTCAATAGCAGCGGCCTCTACACGCTACGCGTTCCTCTCCCACAGGTTTCAACCACCCAAGCACAGGCTCCCATCACACCATGCACATGTCGCAGCCTCTCCAACCCGACCATCCTCTATCATCATCGGTTAGGGCACCCAAACTTCCGCACGCTTGCTGACATGGCCTCCAAGAAACTTCTTCTCGGCCTGCCAGCCACACTTCCTCCACCACCTGACTCACCCGCTCCCACGTGCCTTGATTGCACCAAGAGCAAACTGCGCCAACAGCCCCACACTGCCTCACCCACAATCGCAGCGGCACCACTGGACCTAGTGCACATGGACGTCTGGGGCCCTGCCCCTGTTCTTGCACGAGGTGGATATCGCTACTTCCTAGTTATCGTGGATGACCACTCACGATACGTCTCTGTTCACCTCCTCCACACTAAGGCTGAGGCTCCAGAGGTCATCATGGCGTGGGTCAAGCAGGCACAGACCACCTTTGACCGCAAGGTCAAGCGCCTTCACTCGGATGGGGGGGGTGAATTTTGCAACGACAAGCTTAAAGCCTTCTGCTCCTCCGAAGGCATCCAGCAAAACTTCACCCTCCCTGACAGCCCTCAACAGTACGGCATAGCTGAGAGCCGCAACCACACTCTAGTGCAGATCACTCGGTGCCTCCTCAGCCACTCCAACGCTCCACACTCTCTCTGGGGATACGCTCTCTACCACGCCGCCCTCCTCTACAACCTTTACCCCCATCCGCACCTTCCCGACACCACTCCAACCACACTCTGGCTCGGGAAAACGCCCACTGCTCGCTCTCTTCGCGTTTGGGGATGCACCGCCTATGTCCTCCTCAACCCTCAGGCTCGACGCCAGAACGGTGGCAAGCTCGGTCCCAAGACTCAAACGTGCATCTACCTTGGGCACAACGCCGACTCACCTGACTACTTCTTCCTCAATCCCTCCACTCAACAGTTGGTCAGGAGCCGCGACGTTGTCTTTGATGAGACCCGCCCATTCTACTCCCCTTCGGGACGGGACCCTCTCCCTGATCCACCCTCCCTCGTGTGGGCAGACTTTGACGCGCCTCCCGACCTCCCGCCTGCTCCTGCCCCCTCACCTCCTCCCTCTGCTGCCATCCCACCATCTCCCTCTGAGGTCTCTGACCCGGCCTCACCGGTGTCTTCGGCGGCTGCTCCGCCCCCCCCCCTCACCTTCCTCACTTCCCGCTGCGCCGCCCCCTCCGAGCGCACCTATCACCTACCATCGGCGGTCCCACCCTCCGGCCCCACCTCCTCCCCCAGTTCCCCCCACCACAGAGGAACCCGCTCTCCCACAGTCGCCCGAGCTGATCACGTACCGCCGGCGGCCCATTCCCCCACCCAAGCCTCCTAAGTCACCCTCTCCGACACCGCCTGCCCCGCCCTCCTCACCGGTGGCTCATGGCACCCGCTCCCATCGCGCTGCTCTTCCACTCGCAATGGTTCTTCGATACACAATGATCACACCGCCTCCTCCTGCTGGGGGGGATGTGCCCTCTACCCTTCTAGAAGACAGGCATGAGGAGCTGTGTGATCTCCATGCAGTCATTCCTCAGCTCTCACACATCTTCCCCGATATCACTGGCTCACCCTCCCTCAACCTCGCGGAGAACCCGACCATCCCTATCCCTCTCACCGTCCAAGAGGCTCTCTCAGGCCCTCATGCTGCCGAATGGCGTGCTGCCATGGACGCGGAGATTGCAGCATTCACTCGCAACCACTCATTCGATGACGAGACTCCACCTCCAGGAGTCAACATCGTCGGGGGCAAGTGGTTGTTCCGTGTAAAACAGCTCCCAGACGAGGCACCGGTGTTCAAAGCGCGTTTTGTAGCCAAGGGCTTCACCCAGCAGCGGTACCGCGACTTCGACCTAATCTTCTCCCCCACATCCAAACCTCCCACCATTCGAACGCTCATGGATGTTGCAGCTCGAGAAGACTTTGAGATCAAATCCATGGATGCCTCCTCCGCTTTCCTACAAGGACGTCTCAAGGAGACAGTGTTCATGGACAGACCAGAAGGCTTCCCAGGAGAATTCCCTCCCAACACTGTCTGGAAGCTGAATCGCCCCGTCTACGGCCTTAAACAAGCCCCTCGCGAATGGCACAACAAGGTGAAAGAAGTCCTCCTCTCCCTGGACTTCCACCCCTCAACTGCTGACCCGACTCTCTTCATCCGTCGTCATTCTGAGCCATTCTACATCCTAGTCTACGTGGATGATTTTATCCTCGTTGCCAAGGACTCGGCCCAAATGACCTCAGTCCAGGCAGCCCTGAGCAAGGCCCTCCAGATGAAAGACCTTGGTGACCTCAAGCACTACCTGGGAATGGAGATCACTCGTGATCGCAAGGCTCGCACCATCTCACTCTCCCAGGAGTTCTACATCGACAATGTGCTCAAGCGGTTTGAGATGGAGCTGTGCACACCTGTTGCCACCCCGCTGCCGCTGCAACACCTCCTTACAGCTCCTGCTGTACCCACACCAGAGGCCTGCTCTGAGCCATACCCGGAACTTGTTGGGTCCCTCATGTACGCCATGATGTGCACCCGACCGGACTTGGCCTACCCAGTCAGTGTTCTCTCTCGTTACGTGGCCCCGGGTCGCTTCACTAATCTTCATTGGAAGGCAGCAAAGCGGGTGCTGCGCTATCTTAAGGGCACAAAGTCCCACGTTCTCACACTCGGTGGGCTCTCCCCTCCTCGCCTGGAAGGTTACACAGACTCCTCCTGGGCTGATGACCAGACCGACCGACGCTCCTCTCAGGGGTACTGCTTCACCCTCGGGAGCGGAACTGTCAGTTGGCGCTCCACCAGGTCGTCTGCAGTCTCCCTCTCCTCCTGTGAGGCGGAGCTCTACGCAGGCACCATGGCTGCTCAGGAGGCCCGTTGGCTCACCTTCCTACTCCAGGAGCTTGGCTTCCCTCAGTCAGCCCCCACCCTCTGGTGTGACAACCAGAGTACCATCCACATCTCTCAAGACCCTGTGTATCACACCCGCACCAAGCATATTGAACTTCGGCACTTCTTCATTCGTCACCTTGTGCAACAAGAGCAGCTGAAGGTGGAATACGTGGCATCTGACTGCAACCTGGCTGACCTGTTCACCAAGCCCCTTGGGAAGGTTCCCCACAATCGTCTCCTTGGCGCCATGGGGCTCTGCGCTCCTCCTTCTCCGCCATGAGTTCGATTGACGCCTCAGGGGGGGTGTTGGTGTTAGGCCCCAATCTCACATTTTGTACTTGTACTTTTATATCCTAGTTTAGTGTAGTTTGCACTTTGTGTTTGGTTGGGTGTACACCCACATCCCAACCAAACCCAAATGTAATCTCCAAGCAATCTCCAACCCACCAATTGGAGATTGCCTTGGGATTACCCTTGATTCCCTAGGATTGCCTCCTGATTCCCTCCTCATCCCTACCTTGCTCATTCCGGATGTACTTAAAGAGCTTTGAGCTCACTACTATAGTATCGATTCTAAGCTCAAGTTCTAACAATTCCCCCATCCCCATCAGGACGCCCACGAGTTCCTCAACTTCCTTCTCAACGAGCTCGTGGACATTCTGGAGAAGGAGGCACGGGCAGGCAGGGCAGAGGCGGGGAGACTTATCCACCCCAACCCCCCTGCTGCTGCTGCTGCTGCTGCTGCTGCTGCTGCTGCTGTCCCTGCTGCTGCTCCAGTTGCTTCTGGTGGTGCTGCTGTCGCTGCTGTTAGGTCGGAGGGGGGGGCGAGGGGGAGTGAGGGAGCTGGGGAGGGGAGGGAGGGCGATGGGGGAGGGGCGAGTGCAGCAGCAGCAGCAGCGGATGGGGCGTCCGCCGGTCTGGGTTCTGCTGCTGCTGCAGCTGCGGCTGCATCTGCAGCTGTTGCAGCAGCAGTAGCAGCAGCAGCTGGGGCAGGGGGGACAGCAGTTGCTGGGACCGCTGCTGCTGGTGGGGGTGGCAGTGGGGCGAAACCGACGGTGGTGACATGGGTGCATGAGATATTCCAGGTGGGTGCTGCTGGGGTGGGTGCTGCTGGGGTGGGTGCTACTTGGGCTAAAGTTAGCAATCTAGACAAATCAGTTGTATCGTCACAACGTCACACACTGTGTGTCCGTGTCCTCGCTTTCACTGTCCGATCCCCTTAACTCCAAGGCACACTCACAAACGAGACGCGCTGCCTGTGCTGTGAGACTGTGACTGCTAGAGACGAGGCCTTACTGGATCTCTCATTAGACATCGAGCAGAACAGCAGCGCTACCAGCTACCCGCGCAACATCCTCACCCCCGCACTCCTCCCTCCCCATCCACCTCCCACCCACCCCTCCTCTTCCCATTCCAGGGTACTCTAACAAACGAAACACGTTGTCTGTGCTGTGAGACAGTCACGGCTCGGGACGAGGCCTTTCTGGACCTCTCATTGGACATCGAGCAGAACAGCAGCGTCACCAGCTGTCTGCGCAACTTCTCCTCCACAGAGACGCTCAACGGCAACGACAAGTTCTTCTGTGATACCTGCTGCAGGTGGGCACCTGGTACGAGGCTTGTTGTAGTAGCAAGGTGACGTCCAGTCCGGGAGCACGTACAGATCGCCACACGCTGCCCTCCAGGGATAAAGGTATATCGGCAAGCACACATGCTATTGTTATGTCAGCAGGTGGGAGGGGGTGTCAGCAGGTGGGAGGGGGTGTCACCAGCTGCCTGCGCAACTTCTCCTCCACAGAGACGCTCAACGGCAACGACATGTTCTTCTGTGACATGTGCTGCAGGTGGGTGTGGGACAGGGAGCCTTGTAGTGCTTTCACCGAGTGAGCGTGCTATCTGAATTAGTATTAGGTCAACAGGTGCAGGTGGGAGGGTCACAGTGTCACCAGCTGTCTGCGCAACTTCTCCACGGAGACTCTCAATGGCAACGACAAGTTGTCTTGTGATACCTGCTGCAGGTGAGGATGGGGTGGGGAGCCCAGCTAGCTTGCAGGGCCGTCAGCATGTGGAATTGGTGGGACATGCTGTGATGCCAGCATGTGGCAGTGTCACCAGCTGCCTGCGCAACTTCCCCTCCACAGAGACTCTCAACGGCAACAACAAGTTCTTTTGCGACACGTGCTGCAGGTGAGCAGAGTTTTGAGACGTCTCAAAACCCTGCTTCAATCATGCTGCAGGTGAGCAGAGCATGGGATGAGGAAGCCTTGTAAGGCTGTCCACGAGTGGACAGGAGGTTGTAATACGTCAGCAGGTGGGAGAGTATTTTTTAGTCGACTCAGTAATACGTCAGCAGGTGGGAGTGTCATGTCTCCAGCTGCCTGCGCAACTTCTCCCCCACTGAGACTTTGAACGGCAACGATAGGTCCTTCTGTGAAACGTGCTCCAGGTGCATGTGGAGCAGCTGGGGCGGTACAAGAAGCTCTCCTACCTGGTCGTCTTCCCCCTCCACCTCCGCTTCTCCCTCTCCCTTCTTGCCCCCTCACCTGCCCTTAGCTCTCCACGCTCGGCCCTCCGTCCTCCCCTCCGTCCTCCCCTCCTCCTTCCCTCCTCCTTCCCTCCTCCCCTCCTTCCCCTCCTCCTCACCCCTCTTCCCCCCTTCCCTCCCCACCCCCAGCCTGCAGGAAGCGCAGAAGCGGATGCCCATCAAGGCACCCCCAAGAGTGCTGGCCCTGCATCTGAATTTGAGTCGACTCAAAAGCAGTGCTCGCCCTGCATCTGAATTTGAGTCGACTCAAAAGCAGTGCTCGCCCTGCATCTGAATTTGAGTCGACTCAAAAGCAGTGCTCGCCCTGCATCTGAATTTGAGTCGACTCAAAAGCAGTGCTCGCCCTGCATCTGAATTTGAGTCGACTCAAAAGCAGTGCTCGCCCTGCATCTGAAGCGCTTCAAGTTCATGGAGCAGCTGGGGCGCTACAAGAAGCCCTTCCTCACCCCCCTCTCCTCCCCCCCCCCCCCCCTCTCAACCCCTCCCCTCCCTCCCACCACTCATCCAGCCTGCAGGAGGCGCAGAAGAGAATGCGAATCAAGGTACCCCCAAGGGTTCTCGCCCTGCATCTGAAGCGCTTCAAGTTCATGGAGCAGCTGGGGCGCTACAAGAAGCTCTCCTACCGCGTCGTCTTCCCGCTCCACCTGCGCCTGTGCAACACCGTCGACGACGCGCCCGGCGCCGAGGCCGAGTATTCCCTCTTCGCAGTGATAGTCCACGTGGGGAGCGGGCCGAATCACGGGCATTATGTGGCTCTCGTGAAGAGCCACAGCCACTGGTTGTTTTTCGACGATGAGAACGTGGAGCAGATAGATGAGTCGCTGGTTCAGACGTACTTTGGGTCATCGCAGGACTACTCGAGTAACACGGACCATGGGTACTTTTTGTTTTATCAGTGTCTGCAGCCTGAGCTGCTGCAGGGGCCTGGGGCTGACGCTGCTGCTGCTAGTGCTCCTGCATCTTCTTCTGTTCCTGGTAGTTGTGGGGGTGCCAGTGCTGCTGCTACTGGTGGCAGCACCATTGCTGCTGCAGCCGCTGCTGAGGCAGTTTGTACTACGGATGAGAGCTGACCTTGATGATGAGAACGTGGAGCAGATAGATGAGTCGCTCGTGCAGACGTACTTTGGGACTTCACAGGATTACCGTATTCGAGTAACACGGATTATGGGTATCAGATTTCCTGTTCTATCAGTGCTTGCAGCCGGAACTGCTGCAGGGACCAGGTGCCGATGCTGCTGCTGCTGCTGCTGTTGGAAGTGCTTCTGTCTCTGCTTCTGTTTGTGGTAGTGCCGGGGGCTCGGTGCTGCTGCTACCGGTGGCTGCTAGTGCCGGGGCTGCTGCTGAGGCTTTTTTTGCTGCTGGCAATGGCTGCTTTAGAAATTCCGGGAAAAGCACGGGTGTGGGATGTTATTTGGGGCTTGGTTACTGGAATGAGTGTACGGTAAGTACAGGTTGCTGGAGGTTTGAGGGTTTCAATTCCTTCAGAAGCAGCTCATGAGGTTTGTTGAGTATGAGCAATGCGAGTGTCATGTCGATGCATACAGGTTGATGCTGCTGATGGTGGTGATGGCAGACCAGCTGCATCGGGATTGTTGCTAGGGTTCGATGGCTGGTGCAATGAGTGCATGGCGCAACCCCAAATAACTGGTACGGTGCTGCTGGCGATCTCGTTGCGTTATGTGTAGTATATGTTAGCTTCAATGCTGCCAATGATGGCCTTGAATTTGAGGTGTTCAGGATCGCATATCTGCTAAACCTCAGTATGACCGGAAAGTAAAGACTGAATTGGTCTCTCCAGCGTTAGGCTCACTGAAGCATAGAAACTAATGTAATCCACCTGATAACTAGCTAACTACGGTACACTCACGGGCTCATAGATTTTCACAAGCTGTGCAAACGAGACTTCATTTGCTTCTGACCCACCGACCTTCGAAACGCCATTTGGAACTGTCCCCCGTAAGCACCACTGAACTTCCAGGGTCCCAGGAGAAGCTTTCCATTCACAGATATCCACGCGGAGGGTACAATTTCCAATATTCGCGGAACCGAAGACCTGCGATCGGAGAACGTGAAGGAGCATATCTAGGCTAGGTCACGGTTCTGGCGAAGCTTGGACACCATCAACCAAAAATTTCCCTCAGTGACGTGTAGACACACCCGATCATTGGTCATTACACAAGTTGGGAGAAATCTTGGAGCATGACAGCCAATCAGACGTGTTCATTGCTACCAAAGTGTCCACACTTCAGATGGTGTCCAGACTTCAGAACCGTGATTAAACCCACCAACGTTAGTGTTTCCAAGGCCAACCTTTCGTCAGGCCAGGTGATACAGCAGGTTGGGGCACAGCTTGTGTGCAGCGAGGGCTGCGGCAGGTGGGAGGAGGAAGGTTTCCCGCTCGAGCCTAGCGGTGGTGGTGTGGCATGGCGAGGTGATTGGTCCGGTACGTAACGTAGCCTGGCCGGAGCTCGGCTCTGGTCCTGGCTGGCCTCGTCCCCTCCCATCCCATGCCTCAAACTTCACTTCCAGTAGAGCCGAGGGATTGGTTGAGCAAGGACATAGTTCTTTGTTCAATATGGTGTTTGTGTTTCAAAAAGGTACAAAACGTTTCTGTACATCACCTGTATGGTTTTGTTGGTCTCATAGGGATGACGCATGGTTTAAGAGGAAAAGAGTTTGTTACTGAACTGCTGGGAGGTGGGCCCGCGCAAGCAAGGCGAGTCCCCTGTGAGCTCTGAGCTCCCCCTCCCGCGCGAGAGATCTTGGTGGGATGGGATTGCATGTGCCAGGTTTGTTAGTAAAGGACATTCTGCCTCTTCTACTGTAACTTCAAGTCGGCGGAGACCAAGCGGAAATCTGGAACAATTTTCCGCCTGTCCGTTCCGTATCCAGCCAGCCGTCCATTCCGCTTGTTCCAAGGGGTTCTTCTCGACTGACCCCCTCGTCCTTACCTGCTGGCTTGCTTCGGCAGACTGATATTGGCCTTGGTGTTGGCCTTGGGAATAACTTTGCTTTTCCTTGCTGAAGAGAAAGTTTTGTGGAATTAGTCAGACCCTCAGAAATGGATGGTCAGGATACTGTTGATGGAATTAGTGAATCTAAACCCTACTCTGAGTTTCCTTATTCTTGCCCGCGGTCACTCGAATCTGAATGGCAACGGCAGATCGCTCGTGGTGGATCGTTGTCGTTGGCCCGCTAACAGAAAAGTCTCGGTACACCCTGTTTCTCGACCCTCTCACCTTGCGCGATTCGCTGCTACAGTGCGGTCAGGTGCCATAAACCGTATGGCTGAAACCTGCGGGCAAAGCCGCACCAGCTGACGGAGTGGTACTGGGGGCAAAATTTTTCTTTATCGCTGTATACCCTTTTCAACCGCTTTGAAACGCTTGTTTAATGTTCTTTACCATGCAGCATCCTAGCTAACCGCTTTCTTGTGAATGTGCTTGTACCGTCGGTGATAAGACCATTTCAAACGTGGTGACGTTCTACAACCAGTGTATGTTCTGCAACCAGATGCTCTGCTAGCGCGAAACAGGGTGTATATGGTGAGGTTGGCTTGGGCTTCTTGACTCGACTCGACACGTTCAGTTGCCTTCACTTCCAAGCGTGCTCCAGTAATCCACGATTCGTCGCTGCACGATTAGTCCAGTGCAAGAGTGCCATGGACCATGGTTCAATAGACAGGACTCCGCTCCGCTCCCTTCCCGATTCTCTCTTATAATTTCAGCTCATCAGATGCAGGTCACTGTCGAAATTGTTATTCGTATCGTAGTTGAAGGGAGTTGAGGGACGCGAGCTGGTCAGGCAACGGTAGGGGTGACTACCGTATTTTATGCATAGGGCAAAGCTCCATCTTCCGACAGGGTTTGTGGACCACTCGTCACGAATTTTCGTTTGGTTATTTTTTGTTTGATGTACCAATCCGTACTCATCCTTTCCTTCACTCCTCCAAGATTAAGAGCCTTAGCAAACCTATCCTAAAGCCACGCAATGCGCTTGTTTCGTATTAGCTCGATACGTTACACCTTTCGTTTTTAGGAGCCATCGCGCGGTTGGCGTTTTTCCCGGCTTGTGGTCGTCAAGTTGCCACTTGAAGCCATAACTTGACGACTGATTTACGCGTTGACGCCTGAGGCCGTGTAAAAGAAGAACAAAAGATCAACCTCCCTTCCGCACCATCGTCGATTTGAAGACAATGTGGCTCGTGGAAGTGCCGGGATCGTGGGTGTCCGACAATTTCGCAATCAAGGACGCCTTAGAAGCTTCCTGGTCGTTTCTGCAGCGGGTGCTGACGTTTGCCTGTGCCACGTCTCAGGCGCGGCAGCAGCATCGCCGTCAGCAACCAAATCACCCGTCAACCCCGGCGTCCAAACTTAAAGCCGATCATGCTGACGTCATTATTGTTCTAGTATCGGTTGTGATAAGTTCGAGTGTTCGGAAACCTTCGGAAACGTCACGCGTGCGGGGTTTCGGTACTAGCTTGACCGAGAGAAGCCGTGGCGATGAGGATTCGGAGAAGGAGGATCGGATCTGGAGGGACCTATTAAAGCCCCTCCTGCAGCGAGCCATGGCGATGGGCAAGGTGAGAGTCGCGAAGGAGAACGAATCTAGGGTACAGATTCGAAGGTGATGGGATCGAATTCAGTCGTTTTGAAAGTAAACGTTACCGATCGTCGCTGTTATGGGTAGTATGTGTCGTATCAGGGAAGATTGTGTCAAATTCGAGTGAAGGCGATTATTTCTGCCTTCAAGTGAAGGTGAAGATTTCTGCCAAAAAAACCCCTGAAACTGGTCCCAATATTCCCCCAAATAATTTCCTTGCTTGCTTCTCCCATACTCTCCATCTCCTTGTGCCTATCGCCGCCTCCCCTGTCTCGCACAGGCAATGGTAATTGGCCACGTGGAGCGCAGCACCTCTCGAGCAGACGGCCTCTGTGCCGCGGCTCGCTGGTTCCCCGCCTCTCGCCTCTACGCAACACCCGCCGCCGCCGCCGCCGCCGCCCCCGCCCCCACCGCCGCCGCCGCTGCAGCAGCTACTGCGGGTATCGATCTGCTGCCACCGCTGCGTCTCGCCTACCCGTCCTCTGATCTCGGCCTTCCGCTGACGTTCGCCAGCAGCCTGCCTTTAACCTGCAAGCTCGCTACAATCACTTCTTCCAACAATCACTCGCGAAACGGCTCGCTGACGGAGATAGACGAGAACGAGCCAAGCACGGGCGGGTGGGAGAATGGGGGGGGGATTGTGGGTGAGGCTGGGGGGGAGACTGGGGGAGAGGCCGGGGGTATTCAGCGGTGCAGCTTTAGCACAGACGATGGCGTGAGCGTGGGGGGAAGCAGCAGATGGAGTACGAGTAGCAGCGGCAGCAGCGCCAGCAGGAGCAGTAGCAGTGGGGGTAGCAGGTGCATCAGCAGTGGCAGCAACAGCAACAAAAGCGGTTCCCAGAAAGCTGCGCCGCTTTTTCCATCAGATTCTTTCCCGCCAGCAGCGTCCTACTCGTTCAATGCAACTGCTTCTGCTCTCTCCTCCGCTCTGCCACAGTCGTCGTCCGCTTCCTCCTCCTCTTCTTTCTCCTCCTCTTCCTCCTCTTCCTCCTCTTCCTCCCCTTCCTCCTCTTCCTCCCCTTCCTCCTCGTCCTCCTCTTCCTCCTCTTCCTCTTCCTCCTTCTCCGCTTCCCGCTCCTCCTCGTCGTCCTCTTCCTCTTCCTTCACCTCCCCTTCCTCCTCTCTCTCGTCCTCTTCCCTCTCCTCTTCGTCTTCCTCCTCCGCTCCCTCCTCCTCCGCTCCCTCCTCCGCCCCCTCCTCCTCCGCCGTGTCATACGAACTGACGCGCTATCCGTGGCACGAGCAGGACAGAATGAAGAGCTTCAACGAGCGTCAGCCTCTGCCGCGCTTGCAGCACCAGCTGCTTCAGGTGCGCAAGCCCACGCTCGCCCCCGCACCAATCCAACGCCGCTACACTCACAACGCCGACCACCCACGCAGCACCACCACCAGCATTTCCATCAACACTAGTATCAGCATCACCAGCAGCAGCAGCCTCAACCTCACTTCGAGCACGGCTGCTGAAGCCCCTGCAGGCCCAACCGTCGCTCCCCTCGCCTGTGCGCTTCCCACTCGTTCAGACGCCCCAGATCCTGCTGCTGCGATCAGCAAGGCTACTCCAGTCCCCGCCATAGCACCCTTAGCTTCTACCCGTTCCACCGTCTCAGGCGCCTCAAGTTCTCTCATCAGGTTCCCGTCCTTTCAGGATGGTTCGGAGCACCTGGGCCCAGGTGGTGCTTCAGGTGAAAAGAGCAGAGACGTGGGGGAGGAATCCGGGGGTTTAGCAGGTAAAGAGCCAGCAGTGCGGTCAGCAGCAGGTGCAGCAAGGGGAGGTGCGGTGTTAAGTGCTGCTGCTAGCGCTTCTGGTGCTGCTTTTGGTACTCAAACTATTGCTGGTGCTGCTGGTGATGTTGTTGGTGCAGCAGTTGCTGCTGCTCCTAGTTCTGCTGCTGGTGCGGTTGCGGCTGTTTCTCGTGCGCGGAGGAACCGTCAAAGGGGCCTCAGCAGGAGCAGCAGTCTGGACAGAATCGACTTCTCCTACTGGGACGCCGAGCTGGAAGGGGGCGAAGGAGAAGGAGAAGGAGGAGGAGAAGGAGGAGGAGGAGGAGGAGGAGGGGGAGGAGGAGGGGGAGGAGGAGGGGGAGGAGGAGGGGGAGGAGGAGGGGGAGGAGGAGGGGGAGGAGGGAGACGCGAGGCCAAGGACCACTCCAGCAGGGCAGAAGCGCCTGTTTCAGACGCTCCTGCCACACACGCTCCTTCCACACACGCTCCTGCTACAGACGCTCCTGCCACACACGCTCCTGCTACAGACGCTCCTGCCACACACGCTCCTGCTACAGACGCGGCCTATGCAACTGCGAGCAGTGGTTTGGGAGTGGGTGGGACAAGGGAGACTGTAGAGGAGGCTAGCAGCGACGCTGGGCGCGACAGGGTGGCAGCAGGGGGTGCGCTGGCAGCGGGGGGCTTGGCGGGTGCGGGGTTGCTGGGGGGGGTGATGGCGCGCGCGATGGCGCAGCAGCAGGGCAGAGACGTGGTTCGCGCAGGCATGTTCTTTCGGGCTGAACGGGAGCGCCAGCTGCGGAGGGAGCTGCGGGGCGTGGGGGGCGGGTGGGGTGGGGGGGATGGGGGGGTTGTGGGGGGCGCGAGGGGCGCGAGGGGAGTGTTTTTTGGAGCTCCTATGCTGCCAGTGGTGCTGGAAGACGGTAGGCAGACTGGCATGGGGCGGAGCGAGGGGCGGGCAGAGGGGCAGCAGTCAGGGGAGCAGCAGAGGAAGGTGCAGTCAGCTGAATTCCCTATTGGGATGGCAGGGAGTGAGGTGGAGGGCGGTGCGGGTGGGTGGAAGAAACAGGCGCATGGGCGGAAGTTAGGGCATGAGAAACGGCGAGCGCGGGAGGGAGGAGAGAAAAGAGCTGAGAGAAAGGAAGGAGTGGAGGGTAGGGGAGGAGATGAGAGCAAGGGCAGTAAGTGGGGAGCGGAAGGGAGCAGGCAGAAGGGGCAGAAGGGGCGAAAAGGGGGTGGGGCAGATGGGTTTGAAGAGCTCATGCTGGCAGCAGCTGCTATGCAGGAGAACGAGGGGGATGCCGGGGGCGGAGATGGGGGAAGGGGGGATGGCGGAAGGGGGGATTGCGGAAGGGGGGATGGCAGAATGGGGGATGGCAGAAGGGGGGATGGCGGAAGGGGGGATGGCGGAAGGGGGGATGGTGGAAGGGGGGATGGGGGAAATGGGGATGGCGGAAGAGGGGAAGGCGGAGGGGGTGGTGGTGGAGGGGATGGGAGGTTGGGGATGGGCGACAGGGAGATGAAGAAGACAAGAAGCTTCCCGGATATGGGCGAGAAGGTGAGAGAATATGGAGGGTTGTCAGCGTATGGTCCGGAATCTCCCCTAACCTTGTGCCTCACAAAAATAGCCCTTGAAACGAGGTGACTGTTGAGTCGACTCAAAGGTCCGGAATCCCCCCTAGCCTTGTGCTTCACAAACATAACCCTTGAAACGCTAAGGTAGCCGGATTGGAAGTGTAAACTGACTCAGCAACCAAAGTGTAATGCGTAGCTATGTAAGGTAAGTAACTTGTCTTGATCACGTGCGCAAGTGTTACGCACCTGAAAGAAAACCCTGTCCCGCCAGGCTCCAACGGGACAGGCATATCCGTGCATCACATCCCTCTGTCTGTGGCATCACATTACCTCCCCTTCCCTTCCCTTCACGCCCCTCCCCTTCCCCTCTCCTCTTCCCTCCCCCCCATTCTCCCCTCCCCTCTCTTTCACTCCCCCCCAGCCTGTCGAGCAGCCTCACCCTCGGCACTCGTCACCGCTGCGTGTGCAGCGAGAAGCACCTGTGTTCTCCAACCCCTGGGCCGCTGCCACCAGCGAAACCAGCCCCACTAGCACTACCACCACCAGCAGCAGCATCACTGCTAGTAGAAGCGGCGTCAGCAGCACAGCAGTCGTCAGAGGGAGCAGTGCAGCAGGCGCGGCAGCAGGCACGGCAGGCGCACAAGGGCTGGCTTGGAGACTGCAGAGGGATGGAAACAGGGATGAGGAGCGGAGAGGGGATGGGAATGAGAAGGGGGAAAGAAGTGGGGAGGCGGAGGAAGGGGATGGAGGGGGGGAATTGACTGCGGCGGAGTTGGCAAGGCGGCGGTTGCAGGAAGCATTAGGGGGAGATGAGGAGGATGAGGACGACTGGTTGGCGGATGACCTGGGTCTGGGCGCGGCTGTGGTGGCAGCTCGGCGCATTTCCACCAACAGCTGGTCTTCTGCTGCCACGGTGAGTGCTGTGCTGGCGGTGAGCTCTATGATTGTGATTGTACAGGCTGAGGTGAGTGGGAGGGTGACGAGGGGGACGGGGACTACTGGCTGGCTGATGACGTGGGTCTGGGTGCGGCTGTGGTGGCGGCCCGGCGGCTTTCCACCAACAGCTGGTCCTCTGCTGCGACGGTGAGCTGAGCTCTCGCTTTATGGGTGAGGTTGTATCGTTTTAGGCGAGTGGATGGGGGATGAGGAGGGCGGGGATGACTTTTGAGTCGACTCAAAAGTGAGCTCTCGCTATGGGTGAGATTGTATCGTCTTAGGCGAGTGGATGGGGGATGAGGAGGGCGGGGAGGACTGGCTGGCTGATGAATTGGGGCTGGGTGCGGCTGTGGTGGCTGTGGTGGCTGCTAGGCGCATCTCCACCAACAGCTGGTCGTCCAGTGCCACGGTGAGGATCGATGTTTTGTGATTGACGCGAGTGTGCACCTGAATGCCTTTTCCTGCCAGGAGATGGCGGAGCAGTCTTGCAGCGCCTTGAACCCGTCCCCACCCCTTCTCCCTCTCCCCACCATTTCCCACATGTCCTTCCTCTCACAGCCCTCCCGCACGAGCATGCAGCTGAACGGGTTCCTGTGCCAGGAGATGGCGGATCTGGCACAGCGGCTTCGCAGGGATGATTTGGCAACTGGGGGAGGCGCGGGCGCGTCAGCAGCAGCAGGAGGAGGAGGAGGAGGAGGAGGAGGAGGAGGGTCAGGGAGCAACAGTAGCAGCAGCAGCAGAAGCATCTTTGATCGGTCGACAGGGTCAGCAGTGGAATGTGCTGCTGTGATGGTGTTAGAGGGGGAGCAGCAGCAGCCGCAGCATCAGGAGCAGCAGCAGGCAATTCTTTCTTCCTCGCAGCAGGTGCAGCAGGTGCAGCAGCAGCAGGTGCAGCGGGGCAGTGTGGACATAGGCATGGCAGACCCGGAGCAAAGTGCTCGCCGCTCTTCCTTCTCAGACTTCACCAGTGCGAGAGAAGGGGCACGGTGGGAGGAGGGACTCTCAGGGTGCGTGGAGGTGGAGGGAGAGATGCAGAGAAGGAACAGCGAAAACTCGCAGCGGCCGGTGTGGGGGGAGAGGCTGCTGGGGAGGGTGGAGCAGGGGCAGGGGCAGGGGCAGGGGCAGGGGCAGGGGCAGGGGGGGGAAGGCTTTTTGGGAGACAATGAAAAGTGCACTGCATGTGCAGCAGCAGCATGGGCACAGTGTGCCTGGCTTGGACTCCCATCCAGCAACAACGTTGGGAACAGCGCCCCCTGTAGCAGCGCAGCCTTCTTTAGCAGCAACAGAAATACCTTCATTAGGTACAACAACGCCTCATTCCCGTGTTCCCCCTCCCTCCTCCTCCTCCTCCTCCTCCTCCTCCTCCTCCTCCTCCTCCTCCTCCTCCTCCTCCTCCTCCTCCTCCTCCTCCTCCTCCTCCTCCTCCTCCTCCTCCTCCTCCTCCTCCTCCTCCTCCTCCTCCTCCTCCTCCTCCTCCGCCTCCGCCTCCGCCTCTGCTTCTGCCTCCGCCTCTGCCTCCTCTCCAGCCCACCCAGCCCCCTCCCCTCCCCGCTGCCTGCTCTTCTCCCCGGCTGACCTAGCCACCATCACCGACAGTTTCTCCCAGGAGAACTTTCTTGGAAGCGGCGCGTACGGCCCTGTGTATCGCGGCTGGCTGGATCCGACCAATCACAGCGCGCCAGCTGGCAGCGGGGACTCGTTTGAAGGTGCGCAATGTGGTAACCAGACTGGTAACAAGCTCAGTAACCAGAGTGGTAACAGCAGCAGGGACGGCATGCAGGTGGCCGTGAAGGTGCACAGGTCAGCCAGCAAGCAGGAGGCGATAGAAGCCTTTGTGCGAGAGGTGGATATCCTTTTACGCGTGCAGCACACTCACATCGTTTGCCTGGTGGGCCGCTGTGATCACGATCTGTCTCTGGTTTATGAGTTCATGGCGGGGGGCAGCCTGCAGGACCAGCTGCTGAGGGCCAAGAATGGGGTATCTGATGCAATTGCAGCAGCCGGAGCGGCAGGAGCAGCAGCAGCAGCAGCAGCAGCAGAGGGAGCAGCAGCAGTTGTAGCAGAACCAGGAGCTGGAGCAGCATCAGCAGCATCAGCAGCAGCAGCAGCACCAGCTCCCACCCCGGCTTCAAACTTCCCACTCCCCCTCCACCTCTCCTGGCGCGACCGCATCCGCATCGCAGCCGAAATCGCCTCGGCCTTGCTCTGCCTGCACCAGTCCCACCCGCCCATCCTCCACCGGGACCTCAAACCCGACAACATTCTCCTCGACCAATCATGCACCAGCAAGGTTGCTGATGTGGGCCTCTCCTGCGTTGTCCCGTCCTCCAATGTGGTATTTACCCGGAAAGTCCGCGGGACAATCGGGTTTATAGACCCCGAGGCGGTGGAATCGGGAGAGTTGACGACCAAGTCGGATGTGTATGCGTACGGGGTGGTGCTGATGCTACTGCTGACGCGCTTCCCCGCTGCTAGGGACCTGCACAGGTACCTGAGCTCGCTCCCGTTTGAGGTTATGCGGAGCCCTGCACGTGCTGCGACTGCAGTAATTGCGGGGATTGGAAACAGTGGGAGCGGCAGTGCCAGCAGCAGCACCACCAGCACAAGCACGAGCACCAGCAGCGGTAGCAGCAGCGGTAGCAGCAAGAGCGACGACAACAGCAGCAGCAGCAGTATAGGGCAGTTAGATCCGTCAGCAGGGGAGTGGGACGTGGGGTTGGCTCACCGGCTGCTCGTGGTGGCACTGAGGTGCCTGGAGAGAACGTCAGAGCGGCGACCGTACATGGAAGAGGTGATGGAGGCAGTTGGTGCTGTGGCAAGAGATGCTGCTGCCAGGGGGGACAAAGTGGAGTGAGGCAAGGTCTGACGCACACGCGGGAGAGAGTGGAATGAGACGCAGACGCACAGGAGGGGGGTGTGGGATTTGCAAGTGGGACGTGGGTGGGGTGTTTGGCTCACATGTGGCTGCTGCTGGTGGCGCTCAGGTGCCTGGAGAGGGTTTCGGAGCGACGGCCGTACATGGACCAAGTGATGCGCGCCGCGGGTGGAGTGGCTAGGGATGCTGCAGCTTTTATGGCAAAAGAGTGTGCTGTGAGAAGTGCTGAAACTACGGAAATAATTGGTTTGGTTGGTTGATATGCCGCTGCTGCTGCTTCTGTTGCCGCTGCTTCTTCTGTTGCTGCTGCTTCTGTTGCTGCTGCTTCGTGTGATTCCGGAGCGAGCATTTGAGCAACTTCCGACAATGGAGAAGGTCATGTGGTACCGGTAGCTAGTGGGGGCATGAGGCACCCTGGCGTGGTTATTGGTGCACAAGGGTGGAGCGGAGTGTGAAAAGGTTGCGTTTGGACTTGAGGTTGGGGGGCAGATAGAAATGGGATTGGGGCTTCTGGTTTAGAATCACGTTCCCCATGTGTTGCAAGTTGGATGTGGTGTGGCTGTTCGCAGGCACAGTAGAAAGATTATGTATAGAGGAGCATTCTCCATTCTGTTTCAGGGCAAGGGTTGAGGATCATGTGCAAAAATGTGTGGTGAGTTGATGATGGAACAAAAAGTTTCACTTTTAGGAAATGTAGTTGTTCAAGTCTGTGACAAGTTAAACACGTTCATGTGGTAATGTAAACCTCCAGTTCGATTTATCGAAGATAACTCAACCTCGTCTTGTAGATTCAGATTTATAATGAGGATAAACGTACCGTAATACCACGCGAGGAAAATCGTGGCGTTAGGCTCGAGGGAGCGCATTTCGCGCAGTTTAGTTGATGCAAACCGAACCTCTAGGACCATGGGGTCTTACTCTACAATGACAGACAGTGACTGTGACACACTCCAAATCCGCATGCAAGCGAAAAATGACGAAGGTTTGATTCCCAAGCGGTGGCATGAAAGTGCTCACGTGACTAGCGCGGCTCGGCACTGGTGTTGTGTCATTTGCTGGTTACATCGAGTTTCCCGTTTCGTCCTTGGTCTGATTCCTGTGTTAGAGGGCCCTACGACAGCAAGGGCATCCAGAAGTGGCCTAGTCAGTAGAAAGAGGCACTTCCGATAGATGAGGCCCTGGGATCGAACCCACCCCCGTGCAGGCGTGTTCTGCCAGCCCCAAGAAGGGGTTAGCTCGTGCTCATCTAGGAATGGATACCCCTTAAACTGGTTACGACCAGAAATATAACTTAAACCTTTAACCTACGACAGCAAGGGCCCTCGCGAAGCTGTTGACTCGGTTGTTTGCAGTGGGCGACTACCAGCGTTAACAACACCAACACGGGAAAGTCGGTAGTCACGCATTGACTAGCAGCAACTGCGATTGAGCTTGTGCTAGTGTATGGTGAGAAAGTACGAATGACTATGAACGAAGTGAGTACAAATAGGAAACCCTAATTGGGTTGTACCCCCTATGGGATACCCCACTATAGCCTACAGAAACAAGTAAGCTATAAGTTCTGACACACCCCCATAGGCAAAGTGGGGGAGAACAAGGGGTCACAAGACCGGTCAAGCAAAGCAAAGCAAAGCTCAGGGTGGATCACAAAGTCACCACGCATTCCGAGCACAAGTTCAAAGGCCACAAGGCCAGTTCACATGGAAGATCATATATAGAGATATACAAGAGCAAGAGTATATATATGCGAAAGTACAAGCAAGGTCAAGAGGAGAGCAAGTGAGGCAAGACAGGCACAAGACCCAACTGCGTGCAGCAACGCTGATGATCACAAGGCGCAAGTGCCTTGGTGAAGACATCAGCAGTGTTGGCCTCAGAGGCAACGTACGCAAGTCGCAGCTGTCCACGCTGCTGTAGCTCACGAGCAAGAAAGTAGCGAAGAGCAATGTGCTTCGTTCTGTGCTCCAGTCGCTGCTCTCGACACAAGGCCAGCATGGCCTTGTTGTCTACGTACAGGACTGGAGGAGAACGAGGCTGCTCTCCAAGGTCGGTCAGCAGGTAGGTGAGCCAGCGTAACTCCTGTGCAGCCATAGCCCCAGCGTAGATCTCAGCCTCACAACTGGAGCCGAGAACAGAAGACGAGCGGGTAGCCCGCCACGAGACAGAGTCGGAACCAAGGCTGAAGGTGTAACCCTGTGACGACCGCTGCGTAGCCTGGTCGTCAGCCCAAGAAGCGTCTGCGTGCCCAGTGAGGACCACTGGACTGCGCCCTCCAAGCACTAGCCCCATGCCCGACGTACTGCACAAGTAGCGCAACACCCTCTTCGCTGCAGCCATGTGCTCTGGTCGGTGTCTCCCAGGAGCAACAAAGCGTGCGAGAATGCTAAGAGGGTATGCGAGGTCAGGTCGTGTGCAGGTCATCAGGTACATGAGGCAGCCAACAAGCTCTGCAAACGGGCCACTCGACTCTACGGACTCATCCGAAGGCAGAGCTGAGAGCGAGTGGCGAGTAGGCAGAGGAGTGGCCTGAGGCGAGGAGTACGTGAAGCCGAAGCGCTGAAGGACCTGCTGCACCATGTGTGACTGAGTCAGGGTAATGGTGCGGCGTGCTCTGTCCCGGGTGATCTGCAAGCCAAGGTAGCTGCGCAATTCACCCAGGTCAGTGCACGTGTGTCTCTTCTGCAGCTCGGACTTCACGTAGGCGAGTCCAGCAGTGTCAGCTGTGGCAAAGACCAAGTCGTCGACGTACACGAGGATGTAGAACGGCGGCAGAGAGGTGTCGGTGCGCAGAAACAGCGACGGGTCGGCAGTGGAAGGAGCAAACCCAAGTGCCGCGAGCGTAGTCCTCAGTGTGTCGTGCCACTCACGTGGCGCCTGGCGGAGACCGTAGACTGGACGCCGGAGACTCCACTGGGTACCAGGAGGGAAAGACCCAGTGAAGCCAGGTGGGCGACGCAGCCAGATCTCCTCGTGCAGGCTGCCCTGCAAGAAAGCTGTGCTGAAGTCGAGAGAGTGCAGCTCGTAGTCACGGTGAGCAGCAACGTGTAGCAGAACCCGAAGAGTGGTCATCTTCGGGGTGGGGGAGAAGGTCTGAAAGTAGTCAACCCCCTGCCGCTGACTGAAGCCACGAGCCACGTAACGCGCCTTGAAGACAGGCGGAGAACCCGGCGGCCGCTTCACCCTGAAAATCCACATGCCACTGACGATGTTTGCCCCAGGAGGGGGAACAGCGTCAACGTAGGTGCCTGTGGACTTCCAGGAAGCCATCTCTGCATCCATAGCTGCCTGCCACTGAGAGGAGTAGGGACCCTCTATCGCCTCCGCGTAAGAGCGCGGAGTCGGGATGTCTGGTGCATCCGGGTCTCCCTCAGGGGCTAGCAGTACAGACGCGAGACGAGGTGAAGTGGCGGCCAGACACTGGAACTCCTCCTGCCTGTCCTCAAGGACGTCCGTGCCAAGGGCACACTCACCCCCGACGGACGGAGGACAGGCGGACTCAGACTCAGTGACAAGACGAGCAGCGTAGTCTAGACGACAGCGCGCAGCAAAGTCGACAAGCTCAGTGACAAGGGCAGACGCAGCAGACGACTCGAAGGAGGGGTCAGTGACAGCAGTAGCCAGGAGACGCGTGACAGTAGGACTGGCAGCACGAAGAGCGTCCGACTCCGGGTCGGCAAGAGCAGGAAGAGAGGAAGCAGGAGGAGAAGGCAAAGGGGCACGCAGAGGAGCAGTGGACGGACGCAGTGACATCCGGTGCGTGCCAGGGACAGGAGGAGGACGCTGACGCGACCCGCGACCACTAGCGCGCTCAGTACGAACAGGCGACACAGGACGAGACGCAGGCTCACGACGCTCAGTAAGACCTCCAGTCGGACCAGCGTAGGGAGAAGGAGCAGGCAAAGGGGAGGCAGGCTGTAGCTGTGGCTGTGACCGGACAGGCTGCGGACCCTCTAAGGGAGGAGGAGGAGGTGTAAGACCAAGAACCTGCTGCAGGAGCGGAACGAAGTACGGTCGGGGCCGCGCGGCGACGCTAGAAACAGCAGGAACAGCACCAGCAGCCCCGGCAGGAGCACCCACTCCAGCAGCACCTCCAGCAGCACCAGAACCTCCAGCCGCAGCACCAGGAGCACTGTCAGTCGGGCCGCCAACGGCAGGCTCAGCGCCAACACCCTCAGCAGGACCAGCTCCAGGAGAACTCTCAGACTCAGCAGCTCCAGCACCCACAGTACGAGCGCCGGCGGGGCGCGCAGCAGCAGTGCCCTCTGCAGCCGAAGAACCACCAGCACCAGCAGCACGCCTCCAGCGCCCGGCAAACCACTCACGCAGCTCCTGTGGGGAGAGTGGCTCCCGGCGAGACGAAGCACCCCCAGGCACAGCACCTCCAGGCACGGCACTCCCAGGCTCAGCACCCCCAGGCCCAGCACCCCCAGGCACAGCACCCCCAGACTCGGCACCTCCAGGCTCAGCACCCCCAGGCACAGCACCTCCAGGCTCAGCACCCCCAGGCTCAGCACCCCCAGACTCGGCACCTCCAGGCTCAGCACCCCCAGACTCCGCACCCCCAGGCTCAGCTCCCGCAGCAGCACCAGAGTCACCAGTGACCTCGACAGGCTCGACCGCGTCTACCTGGGACACACCTGAAGGGGCAGGACCCTGAGGGGGGAGGGGGACTACCGGGGGGGGACCTGGTACCAAGAAGAGCGGGGGTGGAGGGAGGGACGGAGTGCGGTAGGGGAAGAGGCGGTAGAAGGGTACCGACTCGTCGAACGTGACGTCCTGGGAGGACAGAACACGTCGAGAGGTGGGGTGGTAAAACTGCCACCCAGGGGCGTCGGGGGGGAACCCCAGGAAGACGCAGGGAGAAGCACGAGGGGACAGCTTGTCCGCAGACAGGTCGCGAACAAACGCCCGAGATCCCCAGACCCGGAACGCCGACGCATCGCCAACCTTCCCCGTCCACAGCAGGGCTGGGGAGGTCTCCGGTCGAGAGACCCTGGGGTGGAGGTTGATCTGGTGCGCAGCGTACCTGACCGCAAACGGCCACAGAAAATGGGGAGCAGCCGCATGCATCATGGACGTACGAGCGACGTCCATGACCATGCCAATGCGGCGCTCAGCAATCCCATTTTGCTGCGGTGAGTCCGG